TAGCAGGGAGGATCTCTGTGTACTCAAGGCCACACTAGGGAACAGAGCCAAGCGTGGTGACAGTAGCCTTTAATCCCAGTACCCACCATAGAGACCAGGAGGTCTGTACAGACAGGCAGCGATGATGAAGTCATGTGGCTGGGCTTAGAGCCAATGAGAAGGCAGAACAGGAAGGCAATAAAAACTCAGTTTAGACAAGAAGAAGCTCTCTCTGTGGAAACTACTGAGTGGTGGTGAGCTAAGGCTAGTCCTGGCTATTCTTTCTGATCTCTTCAGCTATTACCTCTGTATGTGGCTCTGTGTTTCTTATTTAGTTAATAAGACTGTTTAGAAATTCACCTATAGAAGAAAGAGCTCAAGCATTCATTGTCTGGCTGCTCTGCTCTGTTACATCGTTGTGACCATGATGCACTGAAAACTGTGAAACCATGAGTCAAGGTAAGTCTTTCTGCTGGGTGTTGGTGGCACTCGCTTTTAATCCCAGCAGAAGCAGGCGAATCTCTAAGTTCGAGGCCATCCTGGTCTACAATGGGAGATCCAGGACAAGTATCAAAAACCTACACAGAGAAATCCTGTCTCGAAAAAAAAACCAAAACCAAAACAAAACAAAAGAATTGAGAGCAAACAACTGTAATAGTAAAAGTTCAACAGTGGGTAGAATAGCCATATGGAAGAAAAGGAAAGTGGGGGAATGAACATTACAAAAACCAACTAGAGTTAACACATATGTACGGACCATTCCGTACACTAACTACAAAATACACATTCTTTTCAAGCCTATATACAAGAGTCATCAGGAGAGACAACATGTTAGATTGTTAGATCACAAAACAAGCCCCAATGGATTCTACAAGTCCACATAAAAGGATCTTTCTTCCTTTTTTTTTTTTTTTTGAGCTGAGGATCGAACCCAGGGCCTTGCACTTGCTAGGCAAGTGCTCCACCACTGAGCTAAATCCCCAACCCCACATAAAGGATCTTTGCTGTGAAATATTACTTTTAAGATGTGTTACATTTGTTTTACAAATGCTATGGAACATTTGCTTTAATGATGCAAAGATGTGTTGCATTTTTTTATGTTGCATTTGTTTAACTCTGTGAAGCTGTGTTACTGTGCCTGTCTAAAACACCTGATTGGTCTAATAAAGAGGTGAATGACCAATAGCAAGGCAGGAAAAGGACAGGCGGGGCTGGAAGGCAGACAGAATATATAGAAGGAGAAGAACATTAAATAAAGGAAGGAGGAGCAAAAAGAGATCAAGGAGTGAGGAAATAAGGGGGGCAGCCACACAGTCAGCTATGGAGTAAGAGTGAAAGTAAGATTACAGAAGTCTATGGTTGGTATGTAAAATGAATAGAGAATTTCTTAAAATAAAAAGAAGAAGAAAAAAAGACTACAGAAGTAAGAAAAGGAAAAAGCCCAGAGGCAAAAGATAGATGGGATAATTTAAGTTAAGGAAAGCTGGCTAGAAACAAGCTAAGCTAAGGCTGGGCATTAGTAAGTAAGAGTAAGCACACGCCCGTGCGTGTGTGTGTGTGTGTGTGTGTGTGTGTGTGTGTGTGTGCGCGCATTTATTTGGGAGCTGGGTGGCAGCCCCCAAAGAGCCAAAAGAATAAGAAAACAAGCAACTACTGACCTTCCCTCAACATAGTAAGACGGAGTTAGAAATCAATAAGAAGAGGAAAGGTGAGAGAAGAAAGCCAAAGGGAACTATAAAATACTTAGACATAAAACAAACATACATTCTAAATTTTATGAGCTGTAGTTATCACAATCATTAGAGGGAGATTTAATTCTAAATTTACATTTAAAAAGAGACCTCAGAGGTGGGTACCGTAGAGTAGACAGTGCATACTTGTAATCTCAGTACTTGAAAGGTAGAGCAGGAGGATAAAAAATCCACGGCCAATCTCTGGCTAAACAGTGAGATCAGTGCCAGTCTGGGCTAGACCCCATTTTAAAATTCAGAAACACAACAAAAGAAACAAACCAACAATAACAAAACACTCAGATCAAAAACTTCGACCTTACACTCCAAAGATCTACAAAAAAGACATAAAATGCAAAGCAAGCTAAACATGGTCTTGAATCCTAGCATTTGGGAGGTAGAGGTGGATCTCTGTGGGTTTGAGGCCAGCCTGGTTTACATATAGAGTTCTAGGACAGCCAGGACTATATAGAGAGAGCCTGTATCAAAACAAACAAAACAAAACAAAGAAGCAAAGCTAAGACGAAAATTAAAAAAAAAAAAAAAAGATTAAACAAAAAATAAAAATAGTTGAAAAAAGCAAGAGGAAAATCAACAAAAATTCTGAAAAAGAACAACAAAATTGACAGCCAGACTAGTTAGAAAAGAGACAATATACAAATAACTATAATAAGAAATGAGCCGGGCAGTGGTGGCGAATGCCTTTAATCCCAGCACTCGGGAGGCAGAGCCACGAGGATCTCTGTGAGTTCCAGGCCAGCCTGGTCTACAGAGCGAGTTCCAGGACAGACTCCAAAGCTACACAGAGAAACCCTGTCTCAAAAAAACAAAAAAAAAAACAAA